GCAGGATAGATCAAGAAAAATGATACATAGGAAACAGCATCCAGGAATTTAGACATGAATACTGCATTAATAAATAACTTGACTAAAAAGCACACAGGTAGGCCAGGAGCAGTGGATCATGCCTAGGTGAAGATAAGGAATATCACAGTTTGAGCTCAGCTCAGGTAAAAGATTGCTAGACCTCCTTTCAACTAGTGTGGTGGCATGTGTTTTTCATTCCAGCTATGTGAGGAGCAAAATAGGAGGATTTCCATTCAGGGCAATCCAGACAAATTGCAAAAGTCTACTTGCTTAAATACATAAAGCACAAAAAGACATCAGGTGCCATTCAAGGAACAAAGTGCCAGCCTAGTGAATATGAATCCCTGAGTTAAAATCCCCAGTAGTCAGAAAAAGAAAACTATTTCTTAACCATAAACTACAGTTCTCCAATAAGCAGAAACATTTAGTAAAATCATCAAAATCAAAATGGATAAAAAGTAGCTCTCTCCATCTAATCTTGCTGTCTTGCCCAAATACTTAGTGCAGTGTGGGAATTGATCAAGTATATCTTAAGAAAAGATACTTTTCCTCGTGTTGGTGAGGGCATGTTTGAGATAATTTCCCCTGTGAACATACTTTTTTTTTCCAAAGAAAACTATGTCAAAATAGACACCTGTCTTGAACAAAACATCTAGTAGAGCCTATCCTATGTTCATCTATGCCATAGTGACCTGAAATTAATCTGTTCGAAAATTACTTTTAATGACATCTCCTACTCAGTACTCAAAGGCCAGCTAGAAGCCTCCTCCCTTTTATTCAATTTTTGACATCTCTGGGCCCAATTGATAAAAGTGTTAACAACAAAACTATGTTATAGGCGTCAAATATTGGAGAGCACTTATCCTAAGGTGAATTTGTGAACAACCTCCAACCCATATTTTCACCATAAATACTCCACTCGCTGCATGTGTTTTTAGGTGCTCCCACACTCATCTCTGGGTTGTATAGTAAATTCTCTTTGCTTTAGTAATAAACTTTTGTTCATCTCTACCTCCATGTATCCTAAAATTAGTTTTAACGATCTCACCAACTCAGTACTCAGGGACCAGGAAAAAGCCACTTCCCTTGTATTTACTTTTTAATTTTGTGTTTGTGACACTACTAGGGCTTGAACCCAGGGTCTGGGCTTGAACTTAGGATCAAGGCTGGCACTCTATATCATTTAAGTCACACCTCCAGTCTGGCTCTTCAGTGGTTTAGTTGGAGATAAGAGACTCACAGACTTTCCTGAGTGGGTTGGTTTTGAATAGTGATCCTCAGATGTCAGCCTCCTGAATAGGTAGAATTAGAGACCAGATACACTCTACCGGCATCTCCTATTTTAGAGACCACCTTCCTGGAACCTCTCCCATTTTGGTGGTTTGAGTCTCTGCTTCTGGGAGCCCAGGGGAATAAGAGGAGGGCAGTAGGCACCTGCAGAGTGCAGCCACAAGGCTGTGGGGCCCACTCACCTTAGCGGCTCGGCAGGAGGCGCTAGAGCGGACACCAGTCCCGCGCTTAGCGGTTCGGCTGGTGGAGAGGTCGGGCTCCGGGCTCTCCGGTCCCGCCTGGCGACCTCGCCTGGGGTCCTCGCCTGGGTTGGGGCGGGCGGCAGTGGCGCCCCGGCATGGCCTCGGCGGGCAGCGGCATGGAGGAGGTGCGCGTGTCGGTGCTGACCCCGCTGAAGCTGGTCGGGCTGGTGTGCATCTTCCTAGGCTGTGTCTGGACCTGGGAGCCGTGCTGAGCCCGGCCTGGGTCACGGCCGACCACCAGTACTACCTGTCCTTGTGGGAGTCCTGCCGGAAGCCCGCCAGCCTGGACATCTGGCACTGCGAGTCCACGCTCAGCAGCGGTGAGGGCTTCGTGCGCCGCGACCCCTCTGCCCCGCGCCCCTGCGCCCGGACGGCGCCTCCTCCCCGCGGCCACTGCGGCCCCTGGGGCTGCAGCCTCGCCATCGCGTGCGCTTCTCTGGTCCCCTGCCTTCCCGGTTTCGGATCCTCAGCAAACCCAAAGCCACAGCCCCTGCCCTCGCCCGGGCCCCCGGCCATTCCTCCCGCACTGGAGTAACGCGCAGGCTACTTGGGGAAATTGTTATCTTTTCAGGCGAGAACCACGTGGCCGAGTAAAATAATGCAACGCCTTCCACTCCCCCGTGGAAAGAAGAAAACGGCAGAACCGCCCCAACTCCACGCAGATGTGTGGGGTCTCCGCTGCCCTTTCAAAGAGGAATTTGCCTGCGGTTACCTCTTAGGGCCCACGTTTCTGCCCGCTTTACTCCACCGTATCTCGGTTTTCCCCAACGAATTTCCATTAGGACTAGGATTTTATTTCCTTATTTTTTGGGGGAGAGGGGGTGTATGGAGATCTGGGAGAGAGATTGTTTCCCTTTTCTTGTTCTTTGTCTTTTTTTTCCGTGACATCATCCTTGGTTCTGAGTATACCCTTCTTCCTCTCCCACAATAAGAAACTCGGCCTTGCCATCGTTCTCTTCCCTAGCCCTAGCTAGCTACCCACAGTCCTTTTGCCAGCACTGAAAGCTGCCAATGGTTCTACACTGTGTGATTTGGAGATGGGGGGAGGAGGGTGGGTCACAGTTGATACCTGCATTTTAGATCCTTGAGTAGAAACAAAATCCTATCAAGTGCAATACTGAAGGATTGTCCAGATTGAACAGGGACCAGATAGGATTATAGAATTAAATGATATTGTATTATGAAGTTAGCTGATTGGGGGGGGGGAGACCAGTCGTGGGGCCTGAACTCTGGGCCTGGGCACTGTCCCTCAGCTCTTCAGCTCAAGGCTAGCGCTCTACCCCTTGAGCCACAGCGCCACTTCCAGCTTTTTTTCTTTTTGCTTATGTGGTTCTGAGGAATTGAATCCAAGGCCTCATGCATGCAAGGCAAGCACTCTACCACTGAGCCACCTTCCCAACCCTGAAGTTAGCTGATTTTGATCATAGATAATAGTTAACAAAAAGAATACCTCCTTTCAGTCAATACACACTGAAGTACATGGGAAGAAAGAAAAATGATCATAAATATGACACAATGTAGTTAGGGTGGATATGGATAAAAAAAAACTTGTTGAGCTTTTTGGTGCTATTCTTGTAACTTTTCTGTGTGTTTTAAATAAAATCTTAATTTAAAATTTACTGGTATAAATTGTTTTAGCACAATGCACTCAAACAAAGAGTTGTCTTTCTTGTAAAGGAGAAATGAAATAGAATGAAAGTGATTTGCTTTGTAAAAATCACTAATTTTCTAAAATTTATATTTCTCTAAAAGTACACCATGAAAAACCAGAGTTAATGTTTTAAATACATTAACCATACTGTATTCTATACATTCTACAATATTTAGTACAAGTGGTTAAGGCTCTAAATAACAGGTAAAATTAACAAATACTTTTTTAATCTACTTAGAATACATAATAGCTTGATTATCTTAGGAATATGGCTATTTAACACAAAGTCACTTATGTTAAACAAACCTGTACATTCACCCAGATATTAACATAATACCAGGAGAATCAATTTACAATGAGACACAAGCTATATCTGATTATATATCTGTTGTCACTCATTTTAGCACCTGATGTTATTTTTGTGGTGCCCAGGACTGGATCTTTATACAATGGCTACCTTTGGTACAATTTCCAACTGGGCTGGAACTTTAAGAGTACCACTTCTAGCTTTTTGCTGGTTAGTTGGAGATGAGTCTCATGTACCTTTTCTACTCAAGCTGGCTTCAAACCATGATCCTCAGATCTCAGCCTCCTGAATACATAAGATTACAGGCCTGAGCCATCAGGGCCTAGTACAAAAGTAAATTTTAACTGATAGCAATGCACACACTTTGGGAATGCCTGCTTTAGATATATACCCAAAAGGTAGGCAAACCTGTGAAAATGTTTTCACATGCCAGTATATTTTTTCTTTATTTTGAAATAACGGAAAATTAATTCAAGCCAGTTTCTCTGGCTTCTTCAAAGGTATAAACTATCTTTTTACACTGTGTTCAATATTGCCCTGTATGATTTTTTCCAAAAAATAAAACCATTGGTAACATTTTAATACTAAATTGCCTTTTCCCCCATAAGGAAAACTAAAAAGAGATATAATAATAAACATAACATGTATTAAAAATCACATTGGGAAGTTAATATACAAGAAGAAAGCTGCTAAATGCTCATCAGAAAACACAACTTTCTAAACCTTTTGTCAGTTAAGTCAGCAGTGAAGCAACACTTAGCTCCAAACAGGGCATCTGCCAGCTTACTCATCATGTCACCATGTCCTCTCAGTCAAAGTTGCCCTGGGCAGAGGCAGGCAGTGACATACTTAAAAGCCACCACCATCTCCTCTCCCTCTCTCCCTCCCCTCCTCCCCCTCCTTCCACTCTTTGTTTGCCCCTTCCTCCCCTCTTTCTCCTCCTTTCCCTTTCCCCCTCCTCCTCCCCCTCTTCCCCATTTTCTTCCTCCCTTCCTCCCTACTCCCTCCTCTACCTCCTCCCCCTTCTCCTTGCCTCCTCCCCTCCTCCTCTTCCTCCCCCCTCCTCCTCCTCCTCTTCCTCCTCCTCCTTTTTACTGTGTGTGGTGCTAGAAATCAAAACCATCTGTCATTGTGTTCTGACCTAACAATGTTCTTATAAAAGAGCTCTCTTTCTCCCTCTTTTTTCTCTCCCTCTCCCCCTCCCTCTCCTTCCTATCCTACCTCTGTATATATAGAAAATCTCCAGTATATGGCTGGATAAAATAATGAGCTACAAGATAATGGGATTTGAATGTGAGAAGACTCCTGGATACTCATACTTTAAAGGTGAGAATAAGTCAAGAACACACTGATTTTGTTCATAATCAAATATCTTTACCAAATAGACAAGTCAAACAGGAAAATAATAGTAAATGTGATATAAAGGCTCTGTTATTGACTGTCCAGGTGGCTCAGGGTAAATCTTGGTGGTCTTGGAGACAGTCTCTGGTTACTTCTCTTTCTTCCTGAGGGACAGCTGGCTGAAGAGGTATTGAACTAGGGTGTCTCCAAGAGCCCACATGTTGTGCAGATTAGTCAGGATACTGTCTTAATTCCTCGAGGGTGTCCAGCTGCTGTTGAAGGCAATGATGCTTCAAGAATTCACTAAGTTCTGTATCTCCTTTAATGGCAGCCAGATGATATAGCTCCATGAGGCTCTGTGTGATGGTCATTTCTAGATTAAAGGCATATTCCATCACCTGGAAGCTACCATGCCAGTTGTGATATCCAGACATGTCAATTTGGTTCAGCGAGATGTGGCTGCCACGCTGGTTCTGTATCCACAAGAGTTTCTCGGCATGCTGGGTCCACTTGTGCGACTGCCACAAGAAGAACCATGAAAAGTGGCCCAAAGCCACCTCCTCTCGATCACAGTAAAATGCCATAGAGAGGTACATGTAGGCTGCATACAGTTGTAAGTGAATCTGGTTGTTGATTGCAGCTTCACATTCTTGGCAGTAGTTGTTCTGAACCTGAGAAGCGTCACCATGGCCATTGGGGGTGGGAATGGAATAGCCAATGATATCGGCAACATAGAAAAGGTAAGTGATCTGCAGAGCAGGCAGTGGTGGCGCTGATGGCACCTGGGCCCTCTTGGGAAGCCCATGGTTAGTGAGTAAAGGACCATGGAGTCGAACAGTGTGCTCCTGGCAAAGAGGTTTGAGTTATTGAAGTAGAGGTGGTAACCTAGCAACAATTCCATTGAGGAAGGGGTCAGGAATATAATTAGTTCCAGAAATTTACTAGGTCACAATCTTGACTGACCTATGGGGGGTTTCTTACTTTTGGGGGAGTGAATTGATGATCATGGTTGTTTTTAGTGCTGGTCTTGTGGTTTGAACCTGGGTGCTGTCCCTGAGCTTTTTTGCTGAAGGTTAGTTAGTGCTTTATCACTTGAGCTACAGCTCTACTTCCAACTTTTTGGTCTTTAATTGGAGATAAAGAGTTTCGTGTATTTTTTTTTAACTCAAACTGAATTAGAACAGTGATCCTCAGGGCTCAGAGTCCTGAGTGCCTAGGATTCAAGCTGTGGGCCATCAGCTCGCAGTCCCTATATAATATTTTTAAAATTCATTTATGAATAAATACTAACTTTTTGAGTTTGTCACCTGTTTCTTTAAGGAATTTGTTTGAATATTTCCCAAATATGATTTCACTAAAGGCAGTGCCTATTTGCGATGTTTCATGCAGCTTTATTTGAATGTCAGCTCTTTCTAGTGAGTTCATCTACATTACTAGCCCTACTGAGGGAGGGGTCAGAGGTCACAATGCGAGTGCTGAATTTCATCAACAACCCAAGCCACTCCACACTGCTCTCTTGATTTTTTTATTGTAAAAATACTGTACAGAGGGGTTACAATTACATAGGCAAGATAATGAGTACATTTCTTATCAAGCATTGTAGCCTCCTCCTTTGTTTCCCCTTCCCATCCCTTCCCATCCTCCCCCTGCCCCCCCACCCAATCCTCCTCTCCCCCCCACCAAAGTTGTAAAGTTTGTTTTTCCACGTAACGGCTTGTACATCTCATTGTTGCAATGGATCCACCTGTATCCCTATTTAAATGATTTTTTCCCTTCCCCTCTACAAATTATACCAACCTCAAATACAGTGAAAGCAGGGGTTATACCATGGGGGATCTCTTGATTTTTATATTTTTAAAGTTATATGTGAATACAAACATCAGCTTCCTTCTGTAAACGATTTCTGACAGAAACATGCTTTAGCTACATTCCTAAGGAAGGTACTATTGACCATATGAATGTATACTTCAACTTCCTCAGTAATTTCACAGTAATCCTTATTTCTATTTTTATTCTTTAATTACATTTCATTCTATGAGCCTTATCAGTAGTAATATACACAATCCTTAATCAGTTTTGTAAATATATACATATGTGTATTTATTGATTAATATGAAAATTAGGCTAATACAGCACTTAGCTCATTGACTAACAATAATATATAATAACTATTTGTAAAAGATTGTCCTTAACAAGCTTATCTACTCATATGAAAGCTTATTTTAGCTTTTTTAAGTTTAGACTTACACAATAGTTCTAAATATACTAGATAGTTCTAGAATATACTATAAATTTTATTCCCTGCCTTTTCATATTTAGCTGACTCCTGATATCTCTTCTTATTCAATTTCTGGTGAACGTATTAGTTAAGGTAGCTCTAAAATAGGAATATCGGGGCTGGGAAGGTGGCTCAGTGGTAGAGCACTTGCCTTGCATGCATGAGGCCCTGGGTTCGATTCCTCAGCACCACATAAGCAAAAAGAAAAAAGCCAGAAGTAGCGCTGTGGCTCAAGTGGTAGAGTGCTAGCCTTGAGCTGAAGAGCTGAGGGACAGTGCTCAGGCCCAGAGTTCAGGCCCCATGACTGGACCCCCCCAAAAAAAATAAAATAAAATAGGAATATCATTTTTTTTGCCAGTTCTGGAGTTTGAACTCTGGGCCTGAGCACTGTCTCACTTAAGTCACACTGCAACTTCCAGCTTGTTCTGAATAGTTTATTGGAAATAACAGTCTCATGGACTTTCTTGCCCAGGCTAGCTTCAAACCATGATCTTCAGATCTCAGCCTCCTGAGTTGCTAGGATTACAGATGTGAGCCCCAGGCACCCAGCAAAAATATGAATATCTATAAAAATCAATACTTCATCCAGGAGCAGGTGGTTCATGCCTGTAATCCTAGCTAGTCAGCAGACTGAGATCTGAGGATCTCAGTTCAAAGCTGACCTAGCAGGGAAATCTGTGAGTCTCATCTCCAATTAACCACCAAAAACAATAAAAGCCAAATGGAGCTGTGGCTCAAACGGTAAAGCTGTAGCCTTGAGTACAAAAAGCTCAGGGATAGTACCCAGGCCGTGAGTTCAAGCCCTAGGGCCGGCACACAAAGAAGGAACCAGTAAGCCTAAGATTCATCCACAAAAGGGACTAAACTTCAAAAAGTAGCTTAACAAAGATTTATATAGATATTTATTATATTATTTCCCTGAATCATTACATGATTTCAAATATGTTTGTACCTTCTCTCTTAAAAAAATCAAATTCAGGTTCCTAAGTTATGTCTACTTGTTGTATTTCAGGTCTTTCTTTCTTCCTTCCTTCTTCCTTCCTTCCTTTCTTTCTTTCTTTCTTTCTTTCTTTCTTTCTTTCTTTCTTTCTTTCTTTCTTTCTTTCTTTCTTTTCTTTTCTTTCTTTCTCTTTCTCTTTCTTTCTGTCTTTCCTTCTTCCTTCCTTTCTTTCTTTTTGTTGGTCGTGGGGCTTGAACTCTGGGTCTGGGTGCTGTCCCTCAGTTCTTCAGCTCAAGGCTAGTGCTCTATCACTTTATTCACAACACCATTTCGTTTTCTGTTGATTTATTGGAGATAAGAGTCTCCTGGACTTTCCTGTCTTGGCTAGATTTCAACTACGAGCCTCAGATCTCAGCCTCCTGAGTAACTAGGATTACAGATGTAAGCTACCAGCACCCAAGTCATTTCTTTTTTTTTTCTTTTTTTTTCCCATTGTAGAGTTTGAACTCTGGGCTTAGGTGCTGTCCCTGAGTTGTTAATTAGAGATAAGATTCTCAAGGACTTTCTTGTTTGGGCTGGCTTCAAACTACTATCTTCAGATCTCAGCCTCCCGAATAGCTACAATTACTTGACTTTATTTTTCTAAAATGCATGAATTTGATGCCAGTTATTTAAGAAGATATCTTTTGTTAAGACAATCTCAATAGATCAAATATTACTCCTTTTGTGTGTGTGTGTGTGTGTGTGTGTGTGTGTGTGTGTGTGTGTGTGTGTGTGTATGTGCATGGGTTAACACATAATTTCTCAAAAGGTAACATATTTTAAGTGGATTAGTTTTTGCCCCTAAACAAAAAATGTCTTTTTTTCCTTTCTATTCAGTTGTTTTCTGATTTCTTTCTTTTTTCTCTCTCTATTCCTTCCTTCCTTACTTTTTCTTTCTTTCTAACCTGGTCTCACTATGTAGGCTATGTTTAAATTTGCAATCCTCCTGACTCCTAAATGCTAAGAATATAGGCATGTGCCAGCACTCATCCGTCTGCAGCTCTCATTTGTCAAATACATTTTTTCATAAGTAACAGCTAAAATTGATTGTGATACAGTTGGAGACTATCACATTGTACTAATGTCATCAAAAGCTTTTCTCCACTTGGTTTCTTTCCTTTCTACCTTTGTAATAACATTCTTCCTGCTCTCCCTTTCTCTCCCTTAGCTTTTTAACAATGACTGAAAGTGTTTAAAAGAGAAAAGATGTCTTTGATTCACAATTTCAGAGTTTCAGCCCATGATCAGCTTGGTGGGGCAGAACGTCAAGCTGGTGCAATGCTGCTCATCTCATGGCAGCTGGAAAGCAGAAAATGAGACAAAAGAGTTAGGGAAAAGTTACTGCTCCCAAGGAGATATCCCCATTGACCTGCTTCCTCTATAAACCTCTACCAACTAAAGTTTCCAGCCCCTCCCAAAACAGCACCCCTAGCTGGGGACCGAGAACAAAGTCATCCTTTAATTCTTACCAATATGTGTTTATGTTTGATCATACAGTTTCCATTGTATAGATGAGAAGACAAACTCCATGAAATGCAATGTTGCATAACCCAAAAGTGGAAAAGCATTTCTGACTCCATATATGCTAACGTCCCTGTGAAAGGTACGTGTTAATTAATGAACTATTGCAATGAGGAAAGTATAGTTTATATGTTCTACTTTTCGTGAGACAGGATACTTAAATCTGTTACTCGATTCCAGTGAATTACTACTGTTTGATTTACTTGATTTTAAAAAAAAGATAAATTCATTAATATATGCACTGAAATAAAATTTGAGTGCCTATTTTTCTTTAAATGAGCTATTTTTTATTAAGATGCAACAATATAAGCAGAGTATTAGCAGACACAATAGCACATATATTGTTGAAAGTAAATGAAACATTGTTCCTTTGGGATGTGGTTACAGTAAAAAAGATGAGAAAAGTATATGTGAATAGTTAACCCTATCAGCCTGGCACAAATAGGAATATTGATATCCCCGCAAAGGGAAAAGGAGAGGATGTTCACCACCAAGGACCATTGGAGTTTTCACACCAATGCTGACCCATGCTAGTAGAGCTGCTCTGAGTTCATGTTGCTAAGAGATGGTATTGGCATTCTATCACCTTCACCCCAGATTCATTACATACCCCATCAAAACTAGTTCCATTACTGTCACCAACATACCCAGACCCCAGATCTTAGTGCTGTCAATGTTCTATTTATTCCTCTACCCTAGAAACCAATCCTTGCCATAAGTGTGCATGATTAGAAACTAAAAACTCCTTCTGCCTATGCCTATTCCACAGACACCAGCATAAGTCCTATGTCCACTCACTCCTTGTGGCCCAGACCCAGAGGAATCCCTTAGATCTTTTCTTGTGGACTCCAGAAGGGCTTCTGCTATTAGAAACACACAATAGCGCTGGACAACAAAGTCTTTAGCACTTTGGACTGACGTTCTCTGATGACAGACTTTCTTGGAGCCCTCAATACTACTCACACTAAGATTTCAAAAATGGAGTTGATCAAGAAGTAAAATGCAGAACATCTGAAGTTATGCAAAGCGTTATAAAAATAACAAAGAAAGAAAATCAGTGACAAAACCCAGATTTATAAGCCACTATTAAATGGATTATTATATACCTTCCTGGAGTCATAGAAAAGAGAAAAAAATATAAAAAGCTTATTTCTTTTAAGAAATAATGCCAAAAAATTTCAGCAAGTTTAAGAGATAAACCATCTTCCAAATTATCAATTTAGCAACTTCAAAAATACCAAACCACAATCTAACTAAAAGAATAGACCAAAAATTGGGGAGAGCCATTGCCAGTGGCTCATGCCTATAATTCTAGCTACTCAGGAGGCTGAGAAGCCAGCTCAGGCAGGAAAGTTATAAGACTTTTAACTCAAACTATCAAAAAAATCTAGAAGTGGAACTTTGACTCAAATGGTAGCCTGCTAGCCTTGAGCATAGAGGCCCAGGGACAGAGCCTAGGCCTTGAGTTCAAGCCCCAGGACCAACATAACAAATGGTGGGAGATAACCTTTCCCCAAAAAATATTTTTAAACTCACAAACACAGACCTAGATTGCATGAAATTCTCAAGGGATTTTGTCACATTGAAATAAACATTCCAGGAAGTGGCACTGTGGCTCAAGCGGTAGGGCGCTCACCTTGAGCTGAGACAAGCACCCAAGCCCAGAGTTCAAGCCCCACAACCGACCAAAAAGAAAAAAGAAAGAAAACATTCCAAATAGCAACATAAAACATGCCACTAGCAAAAGCAAGTATAAAGACAAACAGATGAATGTAATACTTAAATGATGATGAGTTACTCAGTGTTAACTATAGCATAAATTTGAAAAGATAAAAATTTTAATAATTTTGCCAGACACCAATGGCTCATGCCTGTAATCCTAGCTACTCTGGAGGATGAGATCTGAGGATCACGGTTCAAAGCCAACTGGGACAGGAAAGTACATGAGACTTTTCAATTAATCACCAGAAAACTGGAAGTGGCGCTGTGGCTCAAGCTGTAGAACACTAGCCTTGAGCTGAAGAGCTCAGGAATAGTAACCAGGCCCAGAGTTCAAGCCCACAGCAGACAAAAAATATAATTTTTACACAATAGGGAAAGAAGCAAGCTCTGGGGTACAAGGACACAAGTAGTAGTGGGAGTTACAAAACTGATATTTAGTTTAAGTAGTTATTTAAAATAGATACTTGTGCTTATGACATGTCCCTAATTTCTTTCTGAATGTTCAGCACTCTAACCAACCCACTGTGGTGACCTACTCTGACCTTGTAGCACCGCTCATTGTGTCTCAATGATAAGCAGTGACCTCTTTCAGACACTGGGCATTGTCTATAGTGAACACAAACTGTCCGATTTGGGGTTCATATGTGTTTGGTTTGGCTGGCAGGGGTTTTAAGATTCAGCAGATATTTTAATTGGGAGATTTAACATTTTAAAAATGAATATTTCCTTTGAAAACCAGAAGATTGAGCAATCCTTGGCTTGCATTCCCACATGATAGTGATTGGCTGGAGGTAAGTCATAGCTTTCCCCTATAGATGCTTTCCATCTTCGTGGCTTGCCTTATTCATTTTTATTACCTCCTTAGTCCCTGGGTAGATTTGACTTTGCAGTTTGTACTCAAAGATTAGGACAACTTCTGGGATGGTGTTTTAACTGATTGCTTTGGACACCCCCACTTCAATTTATTGAGGTATAATTGATAAGTAAAATATGTATCTATAAAATGTGCAACTTTAGAATGACAGTAAACCAAAAATAAGAATAGCCATAAAATTCTACCATTGGAGACATACTATAATATTCTGAATTTGGTATTTCTGTATATTGTTGAAAGTTCTTTTAAATGTCCAGTTCTTCATCATACTTAACTGTGTATTTTTATTTTCTTGGTAAACTATATAAGTTGATGCTCCACCAGAAAAAATTACATTGCATATATATATGGTCGTGCAGTTGTACTGTAGCATTAGTGTGGCCTTGTTTGTGGTCTATTGGATAAATGCCCAGGAGTAGAATTTCTGGGTCATAAGGGAGCTCTGGGTTTAGTCTTTTGAGGACCCTCTATACTGCTTTCCAGAGTGGTTGAACAAGTTCACATTCCCACCAACAGTGTAGTGGAGTTCTGTTTTGGTTATATCCCCACCAGCATCTGTTATTGTTAGCTTTCTTGATAATAGCCATTCTAAATGAGATAAAGTGAAATCTCAGTGTTGTTTTGATTTGTGTTTCTTTTATGGCCAGAGATGTCCAACATCTCTTCATGTGTCTATTATCCATTCTTTCTTCTTCTTTGAAGTCTCTAAATCTGTTCCAAGCTTCAGGGAATTTAATCGTAAAGGTATAAATGTGCATTCCCTACCCATTCCTAACTTTGTGGGATCTCTAAATTGTAATTCCAGAGTGAAAATACCTTGAAATAGGAGAGAACTTGGCTTTAGGGTTATCTGTTTTAAACTCAGTGCTTTAAAAGATATTCCTTTTCAGATATATATTGTTATTTTCACTTTGATTTCCCCCTACTTCAGCTTTACTATTGCATTATTAAAAGGTTTGTGTCTGCTTAGGAATATTAGAAATCTGTGGCATACAAAGTGTTGTTTTTTATGTTACTATAAAAGAATTAAATTAAAAATAAAATCCAGGAATATTCTCTAAACAAAGTATTCACTTTAATTTAAAGACATATACACTGCTTATCAAAGGGATAGGGAAAGATATTGCATGCAAATGATAACTGGAAGGTATCTGTTAAGGATGGCTATCCATAAAGCGAACAAAGTAGATTTTTAACTCTAAAACTGTCTCTAGAGACAGTCAAGGTCATTAGATATGAGTTAATTCAATAGCACAATTATCAATATATACACACTTAACATTAAAGCACCTAAACACATACATATTGACAGATTGAAGATAGAAACTGACAATAAAACCAGTCAGAGACTTCCAATATTCTACTTATAATAATGGAAAGAAATCCAAAGAGATAATAAAGGAAAAGGTGACTTGAACCATACTGCTAGTTAAGCAGGCACAACAGACATATAGAATTTTTGCAAAACAGCAAGATAATACAAATTATCTAGTGCATACAGGGCATTCTCCATATTAGGTCATAGAATAAGGCTTCATCAATTTAAGAAGTTGAAAATCACTAGAAATATCTTTGCTGAGTACAGTGAAATGAAACTTGAAATCAATATGGACATGAAGAATAGAAATTTATGGATATTAGAAGCTAAGCAACACACTTGAATAATTCTTGAATAAGAGTAAACCAAAAGGAGATTTGAAAAGTACTTCAAGGCAAGCAAAAAGTGAAAATAAAATATAAAAAATAAATACAACAAAAATAGTAATAAGAGAAAAGTTTAATAATTGCTCATTCATGTTTAAAAGCATTGGGTATTGAATTATAGATATTGTCCACCAAAAATGTATACTTATGGTAGGAATCTCATCGTATATCCAGATAACCATTTAAAGTGAGAGCTGGAACTTGTCATCGTGACTAGAACACCATCTAGTCATCATCGTCATCATCGTCGTCGTCATCATCGTCATCCGCATATTTCAGTTCATGAGCTCTTACTGCTCTCGGGATAGGAGTATTAACATCATGGTAATCCCATCCTTTCCTGAAGAAAAACTTCTCAAGGATAGCTGGCATACTGTAGCCTTTGCTCATTATGAAATCCTTGAATGCAATTGTTCCATAAAGTTCATCAATGATATCTGGGGGATAAGGTTTCTCAACGAAGGCCTTGGGGTCAATCAGAGGCTCATCATTTACTAGCTTTTTCCACAATTCAGGCCTCAGGTACCAAGCTCCATACCTTATCTTCACCCAGCGGGATTTATACGGATCAGGTGGCTTCCGGCGTCTCCTATCAAAGCTTGTTTCCTGGAGGGAGAATCTTATCTGCTTCACTCTGCTTAGTTTCCTGCAGTACCTGAGCTCTACAGGAATCAGGTTTACTTTCTTGATGCAGGAATCCGTATAGGTTGGTTTGCACTCAAACTCCACACCAAATTGATCTGTTACCATGTTTTCATTAATGTCCAAGTCTCCAAGACTCTGAACCCATTTGCAGAAATCATAGACTCCTTTGGGTATGTATCTCCGCATAGCAGCTTCAACCAACTCCTTTGAGATTCGCCTTTTCCTCATAGGCAAAAGATCTGGATGGCCACCAGGAACCCTGGGAGGTTCCAGGAGCATTTTCATATCTTTAGAGAGTTTTGGTGACTTAAAGGATTTCTCTATTTCCATTCTTTTCTTGCCGTTCTCACAATAATCCCACGTACTCTCCAGTTTCCTTTCAGGGTCCAGCAATTCCAGCACCTCCAGTAAGAGCTCTTCAGATATGTTATCTTCCAAATTTGGGTAGAGAGCCAAGGGATGCTTCTGGCTTATTTGGGCTTCGATGGCTTTCACGAATGCCCTGCGTGCTTGCTGGGCTTGAGAGAGTGACGAATACAACGTTGCACTCTTGGGCATCTTCGTGGGATCCCTGGGCTGGTATATGCGACTAATCATTGGGAGAAAGGCCTCCTTGGATCCTGGAATTATCAGATCTTTACAGGATGGACAGCCTCTCCTGAAGTCATCTTGCCCTTTCTTCAGAAATAGCCATCTTCGGCCTTCCAGGGAAGAGGGAGCCCTGAGAATCTCCTCGTGGGCTATGACAATACATTTGGAAGATGGCTTGTCAGTGGGCCAACGCTTGTGGACTGTGCTTGGGGGCATTGGCCTTAGTACCCATGGCTGCAAGGAACATCTCCGAGTGTGTTCTGCCATACTGGCTTTCCATTAACTCGGTGGTTTGTTTCCCTGAAGCCACTGGGGTCGCTAGGAAACCCGTCCCGGGTCCTAACTGTCAGGAATTCTCTCCTGCTCCCTCTCCTGTATAGGCAGGTACTTGGAGAGCCCCTCCCCCACCTTCCATGTTCATCCTGTAGATACAACATATGCTTTATTTGGACTATTGCTTTTTTTGATAAACGTTTGGGTTGTTTCCTGGTTTGGCCTGTTACAGATAAATTTTCTATTAGCAGCTGTGTTCACATCTGTATGTGCATATATACTCATTTCTCTTGGGTAAACTTCAGCTAGGAGGGGTCAGGAGAGGCATGTTGAACATTTTTTAAACTACCATCAAACTTTTCATCACCAAAAATTCTCTAGTGCACAAATGCCAAAGTAAATGTCATTCCCCAACCATAGCCTGACATGTCTTTTAAAGCCTGGTGCTGGAGGCTCACACCTGTAATCATAGTCATTGAAGAGGCTGAGATTTGAGGATCATGATTCAAAGCTAGATCAGGCAGAAAAGTCCCTCAGACTCTCATCTCCAATAAACTACCAGAAAACCAGATGTGGTGCTGTTGTTCAAGGTGATAGACTGCTAGCCTAGAGCACAAGAGCTCAAGGATAGCACCCAGGCCCTGAGGTCAAGCTCCAAGGTCAGAAAAAAAAAGTCGGGTGCAGGTGGCTCAGGCCTATAATTCTAGGTACTCAGGAGGCTGAGAGCTGGGGATTGTAGTTCAAAGCCATCCTATGCAGGAAAGTTCCTGAGACTCTTATCGCCAATTAATCACTAAAAATGCCAGAAGTGGATGTGGCTCAAATAGTAGAGCACTAGCCTGAAGCAAAATAGCTCAGGGACACTGCCCTGAACTCTAGGACTGGAATAAATTTTTTTATCCATCTCATATTTTTAGGTTCCTACTTTGTGCCTGTCCTCTGTTTTCAAATTACAATTACAATTTAAATTATCATGTTTTTCTTAAAATGAAAATTATAGATTTTTTTTGCCTTTTTTGAACACTAGGGCTTGAACTCAGGGCCCTGGGCTTTCCCTAGTCTTTCTTATTCACCACTGGGCACTCTACCATTTGAACCAATTTCTCACCCAACTTTTTGCTAGTTCATTAGAGATGGAACCTCTCAGACTTTTTTTTCAGGGTGGATTAAAACCATGACTCTCATTCTTAGCTTCCTAAGTATTAAGATTATAGGCATGGGCTACATCTGACTGGCCAAAAATAAAACAACAACAACAAACAAACAAACAAAAAATTTTAAAGCAAGAGGGAAGATCTAATATCTAAAGGTCATGCATTTATAATTTCTTTTTTTGTCAGTCGTGGGGCCTAAACTCTGAGCCGGGGCGCTGTCTCTCAGCTTTTCAGCTCAAGGCTAGTGCCCTACCTCTTGAGCCACAGTGCCACTTCCAGCTTTTTCTGCTTATGTGGCCTTGAGGAATCAAACCCAAGTCCTCATGCCTGCAAGGCAAGCACTCTACCACTGAGCTACCTTCCCAGCCCTATAATTATATTTCTAAGTTCCTGACCCCCAAGGCAAAGCAAATACACGTATGTGGGAAGGAAACAAATGCATAAGCTTTGATTTTGGTGTGTTTTTCCCCAGAGACCCTGAATATATGTTAACCCAGCATTGTTGCTAAAGTTTGGATCAGGACACCCCATCCCCCATCCACCTTGGCAATTCTGCCCAGATTGTGATTTCTTTATGCAGTGATAAAAGGAAAAACTAGAGTGAATCTTGCAGATCCTGCATAAACCATCAGGTAAATATGCTTTCTGGTTTTGTCATTAGTATGCAGAGTGCATACAGTTTCACACATAGGCAAGTGCCAGGAATCCTCACTTAGAATCTTTATATATCTCGTTGCTAAAGTAATCTATATTGACATTTATAGATTTATTTTTAAATCTGAAAGAAGACAACAAATGCAAAAGTATAATTGAGAATTTATATATGAAATTTATATATGAAAAAGAATCAGTGCTGAAGTCACTAATTTTATTTCTGAGAATATAATTCAAAAAATACATGTTATTTAATCTTATTGCTATAGGAATTACACATGAGTTTACCCATTTGCACTGTGCATCTGAAAGCATTTTAAAAAGTAATTTCATTGGCTTGGTAGTTTAGGGAAGCAAATTAGTAACAATTCCAATTGCCAACTATGGCCTTCATAAGATACTCACATAAAAATAGTATATAGTATAGAGGAGGAAAAAGGATAAAGAAAATTCCCCAGGACTGAAGAGAAATAAAGATGTAAAAATCTAGGGTATTATGTGGTGTTAGGTTAAATCAAAATACTGCTCTTACTTTAGTACATTTATTGCATTTATTATATCTTAGCTCTCATGGTCAAGAAAGTCTTTGCACATAATAGCTTATAACTAACAGTGTTCCTTCTCTAGAGAGAAGTTAACAAGAAAGCCTTAAAAGTAAGCATTGCTTGACTTTGCAAGTACTTTCATCTCCTAAGTCTAGTCCAGTGCTCTTAATCTGATACCTTACCTCAAGGAGTATATAATCATAAAATGAAAAAAATCATTTGCTTTCTATTACCATAACCTACCTTCTAGTTTTTAATACTTATAACCCCTAACCATTATTATTTATCTGGTTGGCTTCTCTTTTAGTCAATTGTTTCATAACATATCTGTGACAAATACCTAAGAAAACAACTTTAAAAAAGAAAGATACATTTACCTCACAGTTAGAGGGGTCTCAGGCCATGATTGCCTCGTTCCGTTATTTGTGGGCCTGTGGTAAGGAAGAGCACCATAGTGAAGAGGGTATTGTGGAGTAAAGCTGCTCATCTCATAGTGGCTAGGGAGGAGAGAGCGAAGGGGAGAGAAAATGGAAGGAAGGGTGAGAGTGGGAGATGGAGGAGACGGAGAGAGAAAGGGAGAGAGAAGGAGAGAGAGAGGGAGAGGGGGGCAGGATGGGTCTATGTCCAATGTATACCTTCAAAGGTCTGCCTTGCCCTCAGCAAACCAATTCCTCCAGCTTGGTCTCACCTTCCACAGTGGCAGTTCTACCACTTCCTAATAATCTATTCACATTTTGAATCTATCAGTAGCTTAACCTGCTGATTAAGCTGGAGCCATTATGATCTAATTGACTCTAGAAACACCCTGACAGATACTCCCAGGGGAGTGCTTTTCTAATCTACTCTTGATACAATCCTGTTGGCAATCAAGATTAAAAAGCACAGCTTCCTTTTAGCCTTTCTCAAATCTCTCCAACAGATCCTTCATAATGACTTTATTGTGTATCTGTGCAGAACCAAGACCCTTCATGTTATGCTCCCTTTACTGGATTTCTGCATATGAAGAAAAAATAAAACCAAGTTCTCAACTAGTTATTTCAAACACTTGCCAATTTACTCTTGACTTGCTTTTTAAAATTCTCTTTTTAATCCCTATGATTTAACCTTGTTAATGAAACTAATTATTTATTTTAAAAAATCATTAGCTGGGCACTGGTGGCTCATGCCTATAATCCTAGCTACTCAAGAAGCTGAGATCTGAGGATTGTGGTTCGAACCTAGCAGTGGCAGCAGTCCAGGGGGCTCTTATCTCTAATTAATCACCAGAAAAATCGGAGTGTAGCTGTGGCTCAGGGACGGTGCCCAGGCCCTGTATTCAAGCCCTATGACAGATAAAAATAATTATCTGTTAGCAGTTGTACTAGGGAGGTACCATTTCATTTAACAAAGCAGTTTATGAATACAAAATATCTTTATCATTGTCACCCCCTTCACCATTCTCACTTCATTTCCACCCACTCCTTGGAAGTTAGTTATTTCTGAAGACATTCTCTTGCCATATACTTTCTGGATCAAAGTCAAAATTGTTTCTAAACTTAGCTGCTAACTCCCCAATCCTTCACTGTCATATCTGACAAAGGGGTTTCCTTCTCCCTCCCTAACTTGCTCAATCATGCAGAATCTACTTAGATCCCTGAAGTTGAAAGTTATTTCTACCTTTTCCCTATAACCCCATAATGCTTTGAATCTTTCTCACACAGCTCTTTGACTGTTCCTCTTCTTATTGTTTATTACCATTATCTGTAGATAATGTGTGCCTCTGGGGAAAAAGAACTGTGTCTCATCTATTCTCATGACCCTATGGTATCTAGCATAATGTAAAAACCTAAAATAAGAATACAGCAAAGATGCCACACAAGTAAAATTCAGAAGGAGGTATTTAACATTTTATTAGTTTTATATCAGCACTTACTTGTAAGACTCCATATGGAAATGGAAAACATGGTGGATAAAGCATATTTACTTTGGTGAGTATAATCATTAATATCAATATATGTCACTTAAAGTAACTTCTCCTAGTATTGTATAATACATTCTTTAGTTTACTGGCCAAACATTCAGTTCTGTTTATTTTTAGAATACTTTCTATACCAAGGAATATGGGTCATAGAGAGTTTGCAAAGAATGCTGGTAGCACTCACATGAGAAAGGCATTTATCCATTAATAAGGATTCTGGTGCATGACCCAAACATCTTCCACTATTCTCCACCTCCCCACACTACTTCATTGGAGGATTAAATTTCCAACTCATGCACTCATACCATACCAAGAAGTAAGTTTCAGATAATTAAGGAAATTTCCAAAGGCCACACAGCATTGAGAAACTATGCTTTTAGATCCATTCATTATGTTATCTTGAATATGCTGGGACAGTTATCTTACAATCTGAAGAATTGAAACAGAAAGAAAAATTCAAATGACCACATAAAACTGGCTCCAAAATCAAGTTTCTGGATCAAAGCCAGAAGCCACCTATATTTAGAATTTTGGTAACAAGAGGGAAAAAAATCACATCTTTGGTTAAACTGCTATGAGACAGGTTTTATATTACTTGAAGCATGGACTCTTTCCTGTGAAAACTAGTCTTTCTTTTGGTACACATATGGACAGGACTTTGGAACTCTGGTTTTGCATCAGAGA